TTACCCGTGACTTAAATTGTAGTGTGACGTTTTTTCCTGATCGTTGTCTTTTTTAGGACCTCATCACGAGGAAGAGGACTGGCAATGGTAGAGAGGAACATGAGCTCTACATTTTAGATCAGACAGACAAGCTGGCTCATTCATCTATTCAGTTACCATCCACCAAGGACGACATTTGGCTGTGGCACCGTCGCTTAGGACATCCCTCTTTTTTATAACTTAAGCATTTATTTCCTTCTTTTTTTGAGAAAAATAATGTGTCAGATTTTCAATGTGAGTCTTGTCAACTTGGAAAACAATACAGAGCCTCTTTTGCTCCTATTAATAAAAGTTTAGTTCCATTTCCTTTGATTCATTCTGATGTTTGGGGTCTTTCCTGTTTTGTCTTTTACTCGTCAAAAATGGTTTGTTACCTTCATAGATGATTGTTCCAGGGCTACTTGGGTCTATTTGATGAAAGATAAAAGTGAGGTATTTTTTGTGTTTCAAAACTTCCATAAAATGATTTGTACTCAGTTTGGGGCGGTTGTCAAAATTTTACGTTCTGATAATGGGGCGGAATATGTTGACTCTGGTCTTGCCACTTACTTCACCACTCATGACATTATTCACCAGACCTCATACACTAATACCCCTCAACAAAATGGGATTGCAGAACGCAAAAATCGCCATCTTCTTGATGTTGCCCGTTGCCTATGCTATGAGATGCGGGATTCTCGATCCTACTGGGGGGAAGCAGTTCTCACTGCTGCTTATTTAATTAATCATCTTTCTACCCAAGTCCTTCAAAAACAAACACCTCTTCACGTGTTGTTCAGGTCAACCTCTTCCGGGTTCTTCATTCCTCCTAAGACTTTTGGCTGTGTTTGCTTTGTCCATAATCATTTATCCACTCGTGGTAAATTGGATCTTAGGTCTCTTAAGTGTGTTTTTCTAGGTTATTCTGCCACTAAAAAGGGTTATAAGTGTTATCATCCTCCCACTCGCAAATGATTTGTCTCCATGGATGTCGCTTTCTTTGAGTCTCAACCCTACTTTCCGACTCCCAGTCATCCCTTCGGGGGGAGCCATGGTGTGAAGCGATTCATGTTCCACTTCCGCAAGTGGTTGAAAAGATAGAGGATGATAAGCCAACAATTGTTGAAGAAAAGAAAGCAAGCAAAGTTTATATCAGGGACAATGACAGACAGCATGTCACCTGTATGCAAGAGACTGCTTTCCTTCCTCTGCTACCAGCTTCTTCTCCGGATGAGTGTCCAAAGTCACCCCCCTCTCCTGAGAGTCCAGGTAATTCTGATCCTAGTGCTTGTATTTTTGTTTTGTCAGATCTAGATGTTCCCATTACTAATAGGAAGGGGGTTAGGTTATGTACTCAACATTCTATTAATAATCATGTCTCTTATTCTCATCTGTCTTCCTCATATAAAGCTTTTCTGTCTAAAGTGTCTTCTATGAGTCTACCTACCAATTTTCAGGATGCTCTCTTTATTCCTGAATGGAAACATGCCATGATAGAAGAGATGAGAGCTCTCAGCAAGAGTGGCACTTGGGAGTTAGTGGAGTTACCTAGAGGCAAAAATCCAGTTGGGTGTAAGTGGGTGTACACTGTAAAACACAAAGCAAATGGTTCCATAGAACAGTACAAAACAAGTCTGGTTGCTAAGGGCTTCACTCAGACTTATGGGGTGGATTACTAGGAGACATTTGCACCGGTTGCCAAGATGAATTCTGTGAGAATCTTACTCTCTCTTGCTGCAAATTTAGATTGGTCACTTCATCAGTTTGATGTGAAGAATGCCTTCTTTCATGGAGACCTAGCAGAAGAGGTCTATATGGATATTCCTCCTGGTTTTGCGGATGCTAAGTCCAATCGTAAAGTATGCAGGCTCCGAAAGTCTCTTTATGGGTTAAAGCAGTCTTCGAGGGCTTGGTTTGAACGGTTCGCTGAAGCTATGCTGAAATATGGGTTCAAGCAAAATCAAGCTGATCACATCTTGTTTGTGAAACACTCCTTACATTGTAAGACCACAATTCTTATTGTCTATATTGATGATATTGTTCTGACAGGAGATAATGTTGAGGAGATTACTCGTTTGAAAGAATACTTAGCCAAAGAATTTGAAATCAAGGACTTAGGCCATTTGAAGTATTTTTTGGGTATTGAAGTAGCTCGGTCCAAGGGTGGCATCTTCATATGCCAGAGAAAGTATATACTTGACTTGCTAAAAGAAACTGGAATGCTTAGAGGTAAACCATGTGATATACCTCTAGAACCGTCCAAAAATTGAGTGAGGATCAAGAGGGAGATCTAGTGGACAGGAAGAGATACCAGCGACTAGTGGGCAAGCTTATATACTTATCCCACTCACGTCTAGACATTGCCATTGCCATTGCTGTGGGTATGGTGAGCCAGTTTATGCATATGCTCCTAGAACTTCTCACTTGGAGGCAGTTATGAGAATCCTGAGATATTTGAAGTTTTCTCCTGGAAAGGGCCTCTATTTATCAAAACACGGTCATCTCAGTATGGAGGCATTTACTGCTGCAGATTGGGCTGGATCAGTCACTGACAGGCGATCGACTTCCGGATACTGCACATGTGTGGGTGGCAACCTAGTCACATGGCGAAGTAAGAAACAGAATGTGGTGGCTAGATCTAGTGTTGAGGCAGAATTTAGGGCTATGGCTCAAGGTGTATGTGAGTTACTATGGATTAAGCTATTGTTGGGAGCCTTGGGAATCCATCAGACTGATTCTATGCGACTATATTGTGACAACAAGGCTGCAATCAACATAGCTCATAATTCAATTTAGCATGATAGAACTAAGCATCTGGAGATTGATCGGCACTTCATCAAGGAAAAACTCACTAGTGGCACCATATGTATTTTGTTTGTGAAAACTAGGGACCAACTAACTGATGTCTCACCAAGGGACTAGGGAGCAAATCATTTCATGACATTCTCAATAAGCTGGGTATGAGAGATATCTCCGCACCAGCTTGAGGGAGAGTGTTAAAATAGGAAATTGTTATAATAGGAAATATTATAATAGAAAATAATTGTATTTATTCCTTTTTTTCTTTTTTTGTGATTGCTCAGACTATGCCTGTAATTGCTCAATTATCAATATAAAAGGGAATGAAGTCTAACTCATTCCCTAATTCTTTCTCTTCTCTAAACCAACAGATACCGTAATTGTTAGGAGAACAAGAGACAAATTAAAAGATGCATTTGCCAGATGATGGCGTCCGTGCAGATGATGACACCATCGTACGAATGAAGATATCAGCATGTTAAGGTCACCTCACGACGATTTCCAAACTTCAATAACACTTTCTAGGGTAATATCAAAGTGCTCTAATACCAAATTCAAGTGTAAAGTGCAAGAAATTGAGGGTAGGGTAACACTCTCAACAATTCTAACAAGTTCCAAACCCAAAAACATGGATTTCTTTTCCTTTCCCTTTTTCCAAATAGATTTGGGTCGAAACACTGCTTTGTGCATACTGACTTGTGATGAACTGCAATGGAACTCTTCATGCTCCTTTGTATTAGTCATAGATAGAAATTAAGCACTAAATGTTCTCAAAGTTTCCGTTTGTGTTTAGGTTCTATTTGCCTTTATTTCTCAGAGTAAGAAACAGAATGTGGTGGCTAGATCTAGTGTTGAGGCAGAATTTAGGGCTATGGCTCAAGGTGTATGTGAGTTACTATGGATTAAGCTATTGTTGGGAGCCTTGGGAATCCATCAGACTGATTCTATGCGACTATATTGTGACAACAAGGCTGCAATCAACATAGCTCATAATTCAATTTAGCATGATAGAACTAAGCATCTGGAGATTGATCGGCACTTCATCAAGGAAAAACTCACTAGTGGCACCATATGTATTTTGTTTGTGAAAACTAGGGACCAACTAACTGATGTCTCACCAAGGGACTAGGGAGCAAATCATTTCATGACATTCTCAATAAGCTGGGTATGAGAGATATCTCCGCACCAGCTTGAGGGAGAGTGTTAAAATAGGAAATTGTTATAATAGGAAATATTATAATAGAAAATAATTGTATTTATTCCTTTTTTTCTTTTTTTGTGATTGCTCAGACTATGCCTGTAATTGCTCAATTATCAATATAAAAGGGAATGAAGTCTAACTCATTCCCTAATTCTTTCTCTTCTCTAAACCTACAGATACCGTAATTGTTAGGAGAACAAGAGACAAATTAAAACATGCATTTGCCAGATGACGGCGTCCGTGCAGATGATGACACCATCATACGAATGAAGATATCAGCATGTTAAGGTCACCTCACGACGATTTCCAGACTTCAATAACACTTTCTAGGGTAATATCAAAGTGCTCTAATACCAAATTCAAGTGTAAAGTGCAAGAAATTGAGGGTAGGGTAACACTCTCAACAATTCTAACAAGTTCCAAACCCAAAAACATGGATTTCTTTTCCTTTCCCTTTTTCCAAATAGATTTGGGTCGAAACACTGCTTTGTGCATACTGACTTGTGATGAACTGCAATGGAACTCTTCATGCTCCTTTGTATTAGTCATAGATAGAAATTAAGCACTAAATGTTCTCAAAGTTTCCGTTTGTGTTTAGGTTCTATTTGCCTTTATTTCTCAGTTCCACAACTTTTCTTTGATTCAAATACTATCCAAGTAGAGTGTTATTTACATAACATGGTTGGTGAAGAATTAGCACCCAAAAGTTTTTAAAAGGAAATGAAAAAAAAAAACTATGTTTTATGAAGTGATCTTTATTCTTCAATGCATAGTTGTGGTTATTGTATATGGTTGTGCATATTAATTACATAACATGATTCATGAAGGATTACCACCCAAGAGAGAGAGGGTAATCTATGTTTCATGAAGTAATCTCTGTTCTTCATTGCATAGTTGCAGTTATTGTATCTGTTTGTGCATAGAATATATGTTATGGAATGCTAATTAGCAAATCGACCCATATAATTGTTCTATAATGCAGGCAAGTTCGTCAATCAGAACGCTATAATTGGGCTGCCACCAGAGGAGTAAATGAAGAAATGCTATTGGAGAATTTGCCGGAAGACCTTCAGAGAGATATTCGACGGCACCTCTTCAAATTTGTAAAAAAAGTGAGCTTCAAAGCTTGGCCCATTTGATTACCATAGTATTGCTAGTTAGTTACTCATGTGTGATGTTTAATAATTAGAGTAGTGCATATTTTGTTGTTAGATCTTTTGGACTACGAATTATCCAAGTTTAGAAGACTTTCCTATAATGAACCATAGAGGATCCATTATTATATAATGATATCTTGATGTCCTTCATTGAATTTAGTGTCTAAATGTTAAATTATCTTCAATCTAATCTCAATTAATGTTGACTTCCATAGAAAACATATTCTTAATTTTTGTTGCAAATGTTAATTGTACGACAAGAAATACTTATTTCACATGAAACTCAAGAAAGCAACCTTTAAGGCTAGAAATTTTGCAAAGTGTGAATTTAAATTAAATCTGCTGCAATTTTGAGAAAGTTCACTGTTTGCTGTCCCAGTTAGAAAACAGCACTGTTTGGGTTTTTTTGGGACTGTTTGGTGGTTAATAAATCAATTTTCCATAAAACTAGAGTCATACCAAAAATCCCTAATGCTGTGTTTGGTTGGGGGATTTGGGGAGGGATTTGGAAAGGGAAATGGAAAAGGTAGGTGAAATATGAATAAATCATGCCTATATTTCACATAGTTTCACACACCTTTTCCCTTTTCCTTTTTCCTTTCCAAATTCCTCCCAAAATCCCCCAACCAAACATAGCATAAGGATATTCTGAGTGGCCAGGGAATCCATTTGACAACTTTTAGGGCCCTTTTCATCAAATGAGTAAAACCAGGGAGACTTATTTTCAAGTCTTTTCCAAATTATATTTTATCATTATTTTAAGCCAAATAAACTCAACTTGTTGGTCTTTTGAAGTTGGAACGATCATATACACACATAACAATTTGACTGTTTTAATAGAATTGGAATCTGGAATAAAAATAGTGCATTTTGGAATAAAACCTGAAAGAGTATTTGTAATGAGCGCAATAGACGAACGTTTCAGTGGATTTCTCATTCGGTATATTGGTTGGAAAACAGACTTTTTTCGGTTCTTCATAGTCAGGTTACGATGTCGGCGGATCCGGATGTGTTGGCCTTTGTAGATTTTGTGGATGATTTGGTTTCTTAGTCTTTGGCCTTTTGTGGGCTTTGGTTTTGTATTCTTTGCATCACCTTGATGCTTTTTAATAATATCTGAATTTTATTTATCAAAAAAAAAAAATTGTTTTCATAACATTGATTTTGTAGTTAAATATGTTGACAATGGCATTATCGTTTATCAAAAAAAAAACACTCCCTACATTTTGGATTCTGACCATTGCTTGGTCAATGTGTTCACTTTTTGCTAATAAATTAAGTTTTGTCATTTAATTACCATCACTAAATTAACTCCTGCCAGGTTTAGAAATCTGAGGTGTGACAATTGTTCACTCAGGTTTTGTGATATTGAAGATTTGATGAATTTGTGCTTTGTATAGTTTTTTCTTTTCCTGGGTGCATATCACATCCTAATTCCTACCTTATGTTGTAAGGCTTCTCATTTTATAGTGTGTATGCTTATCAGTTTTAAGGATGATGGCTCCCATCTTTATTAAATGGATTATCTGCTTAGTGGACGTTTACCTGTAAATGCTCTCGTAAATCAAAGTGAATCCTTTCAAACTTTTTGGTACCTCTGAGTGCACCCTAGAAGTAATTAATTGTTTCCAACTTGAAGATGAGATAATCAAATGATAATCTGTGTCTTTATGTTAACTATCCTATGTTCTCTAAGGACATTCAAATGTATCAATTTCCAGGTCCGTATTTTTGCCCTAATGGATGAACCTATCTTAGATGCTATTTGTGAGAGGCTAAGACAAAGAACATACATAGAAGGAAGCAAAATTTTATACCGTGGTGGTCCCATTGAGAAGATGGCTTTTATTGTCCGAGGGAAAATGGAGAGCATTGGAGAAGATGGTCTTCCAGTTGCCCTGTCTGAAGGAGATGTTTGTGGTGAAGAACTTCTTGCATGGTGCCTTGAGCATTCTTCTATAAATAAAGGTACAATTATGATTTGAAGATGTCATTTGCTTCTCTCGGTTCATGGACTAATTGCCTCTTTGATATCTCACTATTTGGGCTAGCTATGCTTGAACCTAGTTGTATGTTCTCAAATGTTTTCTGTTTGGGATGACTTGATCTCTACATATATTCTATGTTTGTTACATTCTATCCAAATTCTACTTTCTTTTTCTCTTTGTTTGCCAAAATTCTATTTCTACATATAAAGGAAAAGAATAAGAGGAAAGAGGAGAAATTGCATGGCACGGTACAACTAATAGTCTTTCCAAAGTTTTTCTTCATTCAATGCTTTTAAATATAACTAATGTGTCACTATAACACTACAAATACCGAGCCATAGCTTGTAACCTGTGGAAATTGTAAGCTTTTTGTATATATATATATTTTTTTTGATACATCGGAAGTAAGCTTTTTGTATATATTGTGTTATAATACAAAGAATACATCTGATTATATAGTAATCCTAACCCTAAGACTAAAGAGGAAAAGAAAACATCGCCATGTATATACACAATATACACTACCATATATATAAACCTAGCCTAATATTCTCACACCCCCGCTCAAACTTAAGGTGCTTTAGCAGAAAACACTGAGAGTTTGCCAAGAAGAAACTGAAACCAAGTAGTGGTGTGAGTCTTGGTAAAGAGGTCAGCAAGTTGCTGAGTCGAAGAGACAAAAGGAAGCGAGATAGAGTCAGACTACAGATGCTGACGGACAAAGTGACAATCAATCTCAATGGGCTTTGTTCACTCATGGAAGACAGTGTTATGGACAATTTGAATAGCACTACGGTTATCACAATAGAGGGAGGTCAGAGGAGACTAAGGGATGCCCAAGTCAGAGAGAAAACAACGATGCTAGACAACTTCAGTAGTAGTATGACCCATGGCACGGTACTCAGCTTTGGTAGTAGAACGGATAACAACAGTTTATTTCTTGTTTTTTTAAGAAATCAAGGAATCGCCAAGAAACATACAGAAACCAAAAGTGGACTTACGATTTGTAACATCACCAATCCAATTAGTATTAGCATAGGCTAATAAAGCTAAGGAAGAAGTAGCAGACAACAACAATCCTTGGAAGATAGTACCGCGAAGGTAGCGATGAATCCAAACCAAAGCAGCACAATGCGTAGAACGAGGAGCAGAAACGAACTGACTAACCACATGAACAGTATAGGTAAGATCAGGATGAGTAACCGTCAGATAGATTAAGCAATCTACAAGCTGTCGATATAAAGTAGGATCAGGCAGAGGAACACTATCAGTAGTGTTAAGTTTCACATTAAGCTCAATGGGGTATCAGCAATCTTAGTGTCAATAAGACCAGCACGGTGAATAACTTCATTAGCATACTTGGCTTGACACAGAAAATAGCCCGTGGGAGAAAAAGTCACCTCAATACCAAGAAAGTACCGTAATAAGCCCAAATCCTTCATTTCGAAGGTGCAAAAGAGATGTTGCTTGACCTCAGAGATAGCAAAAAAATCATAACCAGTAATAATCATATCATCCACATACAGTAATAAGACAACAAAACCAGCAGAGGTGTGGAGGAGAAACAAAGCAGAGTCCTGGGCAGAAGGATAACACCCAAGCTCAGTAACAGCAGTCTGAAAGTGATCATACCAAGCATGAAGAGATTGCTTCGGACCATATAGAGCACGCCGAAGACGGCAAACTTGTCTAGAAGAATGGTGGAAGCCATGGAGAGGACGCATGTAAACCTCCTTAGCAAGATGACCATTAAGAAAAGTATTCTTAACATCCATCTGATAAAGAGGCCAATGACGAACAGCAATGACAAATATCAAAGTACAGACAATATTTATCTTGGCAACAGGGCAAAAGTCTCCTCATAATCAATACCATACTCTTGTGAAAAACTCTTGGTAACCAGGTGAGCCTTGTATCGCTTAAGAGAACCATCAGAATGAGTCTTGACTTTGTAGACCCATTTGCAGCCAATCAGATTCTTACCAGCAGGCAAAGGAACCAACTCTCAAGTACTAGTTTTCTATAAAGCAGACAATTCATCCTCTATAGTTTGAATCTAATGAGGATGCTGATAGGCCTTCTTGTAAGACTGAGGTTCTGAAAAAAGAGTGAATAACAGACAAAAACGTACAGTATGAAGGAGAAAAACATGTTTTAGCAAAACCGAGTTTGATTACCTGTTTACAGATGCTAAGAGGATACTTACGGTTAGCAAGATTAGAGTCGTTAGAAGCAGGAGGATCAACACCAAGGGCAAAGACAACTAGTGAAGGGAGAGCCTTGCGACGAGAATAGACTAACAATGGAAGGCGAGAAGGAGCCAGCAGGGGAGAAGGTGGAAAGGATGTAATAGACTCATGGGGTACAATGGAGAGGGACTCAGTAGGAGGGGGTTAGGAGGAGAAAAAGGAACAAGCTCATGGAGAACAGTAGATATGTACTCATCAAGAGGGACATCAGAAAGAAATGGATCAATGTGAACCAAATCCTCTTTAGAAACTGAAGCAGTGAGAGGCAGAAGTTGAAACTAAGCTAGACGTTCCAAAAAAGCAACATGGCCGGGAGACATAAAGGCTACTGGAAACAGGATCATAACAGTGATAGCCTTTTTAAGTAAGACTGTAACCCAGAAAGACGCACAGGACAGACCAGGCACTAAGTTTTGTCTTATCTTTTCGGGAAAGGACAAAACACATAGACCCAAAAACATGAACGAGAGAGTAATTGGGAAGCTGGGAAAACAGAGCCTCATAAGGAGAACGACCAGATAGTAGGAGGTAGGCATACGGTTAAGAAGAAAAGCAGCGGTAAGAACGGCTTTCCCCCAAAAGAGAGCCGGAACAGAGGCAGAAAGAATGAGAGATCTAGCTGTCTCAAGAAGATGACGGCGTTTATGCTTAGCAATACCATTTTGGGCAGGTGTATCAGTATAGGAAGTTTGGTAAATGGTGCCTAAATTAGCTAGATACTCACAAAACTCAGTTTTAAAATATTCCCCACCCAAGTCAGACTATAACAATTTAATAATAACCCCAAACTATGTAGTGATCATAGATTGAAAGGTACGGTATGTTTGGTAGAAGTCAGATTTGTGAGTCATAAAATAAACCTAAGTATAGCGGGTGCAATCATCAACAAAAGACACGTAATATGCAAACCCCTTTTAGTGAGAACAGGAGAGGGTCCTCAGACATCAGTATGCACAAGAGAAAAGGGAGAAATAGAAATAGAAGTACTTTTATTAAATGGTAAAGCTGACATTTTGGCAATTTTAAACCCCCGACATTCATCGATTTGACTAGGAAAAACTTTACCCAACACTCCTGACTAAGTTAAATACTGTAAGCGGTCAACAGACAAATGATCTAGGCGAGAATACTATAAATAAAACTGACTCGACTGAGAATCTAACTGAAACGAAGAAAGTGCAACTGAAGGGGTGGATAGAGGAAAATGCAAGCTTTCTACCACATAGAGATCACCAACTCTACGGCCGGTCCCGATTTACTTCTTAGACACCCGATTCTGCACACAACAAACAGAAAAGGAAAAATTAATATCAAAACCAGAATGACTGATAGATAATAAACTGATAGATAGCTGAGGAACATAAAGAACAGCGGGAATAGTAACTGCAGATATGGCAAAGGTAAGACAAACCCAATAGACAACAGATATACCAAACCCATTAGCAGTATTAACAGTAATAGGAGAGGGGGATACAGTTTTGAAGTAAGGAAATGTGAGGAATCATATGATGAGAAGCACCAGAGTCTAAAAGCCAGACAGAAGAAGATATACCTAAAGAGGACCTAATCAAACCTGAATAAAGAGAAGTAAGAGCGGAGGCAAAAGGGGATGGCTGAGAGATAGACAAGATGTGCTGAAGCTAAGCAATCTCGGACTCAAGGAAGCCAAGTCAAAATTTGGAACTGGAGTAGATGCAGTATAAGTAACGGGAGACCGAAAGTTATTTTGAGTAGGAGCTCGGGACTGTGACTGAGACTAAGACTGAGACTGCTGAGAAGATGCAAGACCCTTCTTGGGACAGTTGTACTTCCAATGGCCCCTTTGATGGCAGAAAGCACACTCATTGGAAGCCAGGGGCCCTTTCTTGGGCTTTGTAGTGGCCGAACGCTGATGAGAAGGTGGGGTTGATAGTAGTGGAGGTTGGCCAGGAGCCAGGAAGACAGATGGAGATAGAGTCTAACTGGCTGTCTTAAGACGGGTTTCCTCGAAGAGGAGCTCACGAACAATAGCATCCACAGAGAAAATAGGAGACCGGTGAAGAATGCTACCACGAATAGCCTCATACTGAGGGGGGAGAGCTGTTAGGAATTGCACTAATTGACCCTGCTCCCGAAACTTAATATAAGCATCTAGAACCTTGAGGCTAGATGGTTCCATAAGAGCCAACTGATCCCAGAAACTTGTCATCTCAATATAGAAGTCCTGAATAGACTGATCTCAATGATGAGCACTCTGAATAGTTGTTTCCCAACTCATACCGCTTGGCAAAGTTGGACTGCTGATAAACACTTCGTAAATAATCACATACCTCTTTAGCGGTACTGTATTTAGAAAACATCATCCCAATACGGTCATCCACTGAATTATGAAACCATGTCAGAACTTGGGCATTATCACTGTTAGAATACTTATTTTATTTTTGTTCTTTTGTTAATATTTACGTAAGTTGAGGGTACATTTGAGAATATAATTGTATATATGTTATATTAGGAATTAGCAATTTTAGGCAATTCCCTTTTCTTTGTATTTCCTTTTTTCTATCATAGATTAGGGCTATATAATTGATGCACTCTTTGTAAACATACACAATTGAATGTGCAGTTTTATTTAGAAAACTTACATGGTATCAGAGCAAGGTTCGAAACCCTAGCTACTTTGCTTGTCGCCATCGTGATTCGCTGGGCCTCAGTCTCATCGATCTTGACCCCTCCTTGGTTCGTCTAGTTCGTC